CCTACAGGCGGTCTGCGTGGTTCATGTACTAATATAGGATTTCGTGATAAATAAGAGGGCTGACATTCCGATTAGTCCATTCGAGGTTCGAGAGTCAGGCCTTCCGAGTGGGCTGCTATTTCCTTCTAGCTTCTCGATCTAAAACATTTGCCCCATCGAAAGTGAAGACTCGCCAGCACGTCTGACGGCCGGTGAATTCGAATCTGTGCGCTCCGTCGTCAGATGGCATTTAAATTTCTGCATACGCAAAACACCCGAAACTGTATTTTATGCTAACGTAAATGGCTTCCACTATATTTCTGAAATGAGTTCGTATTTGAATAGGATGAAAGCGCTCAAAATGGACAAAAATGACAGCCATTAACACGAGGGCTAACCAGTTACCTCGTCAAAAATCCGACCCGATGACTATGTTTGCCTGATCCGGTCGGCAGTATGACGATAAATAAGTCAGAAACGGTAATTATAGTCGAGACATGCGAAAATGCTAGTCCCAGGAAGTACGCAATAAGAATTAAACACGATCGCGGGGGCAATGCTTTTATTCACCTGTAGCTTCGATTTCCCCCTCGAACCCAGGACCAGGGACAATAACAGTAGTAGAAACTGATAGTTCGCTTACAAGGAGTTGCAGTACTTATAGGATACATTCGATATGCTACTGCATACCTGTGAAAATTACTGGCCCTAACGCAAGCGAACATTTGAATCCAAGGAACTAATTAAAAAGAAGTAGATTTGATCGCTGGAACAAGAGTTTATTCGTCTGATATTCTGGACTCCCTCTCGAACCCATCATCAAGGACAATAACAGAAACAGGTAATTCATACACAGAATGATTCAGTATTTATGGGATAGAGTCACTATGCTACTGCACACTTACGATAATTAACCGCTCCCCTCTGGAGGATAATTTCCCGCTTGTGCGCTAATTGCTTGATGGCCGGCGTGCGGGCAGTGACTTGCCGAACTTTCATCACACTTGATGGACTCGAGTGCAATAACGCTGGCTGACCGACGTGGGGTGAGAACACAATAAACGGCCTTCGCCTGTTTCTATGGCCCCCACAAAATGCACAAAGAGGGTGCTCGTCTCCGACATATTGTATCGCTAGAAGACACTCCAACGTATAGGACTAGCAAAGTGGCTGTTTCGGCGTCACGAATTTCCGACCGTTGGTTCGGACATTACGGCCCGTTAATCAGTACACTTCTTGGAGAACCTTAAGGGATTAAGTCTACTGCCAAATGATGTGATGGTATCCCGGCAAAAGTAGCTTATGCAGGCCCACTCATATACCCCTAGTTCCAGCGTTTTGTCCTGCAAAACGGTGGTTATAGAGTTTTGGGGGGTGGGAAACAGGGTAAGCATAGAAGGAAATTTTTGGAAGAAAGTGTAAAGTGAAAAAAATTAGTCGAATTTGCTTCCCGCGGTCGCTGGTAGTACGTTCTTCCGCATGCAAATTGAAGGTGTGCGCGGCGCTTAGTGCTGCAGTCTTTACTAATCCAACTCCAGAGCGGTAAGTTGGACCTCAGGTAAGTTGAAGTAGACAACCTCCTAACCACCAGTTCAAATTTTCAGGAAATTCAAGAAACCTGCAATTTGATAATCGGGTCTGAGAAGGATACGGAGTCACAAGGTGCAGGCACCGTCTGGGCCAACCCAATCAGGTCTGGCGTTTGGATGATGTTTCTTTTGACGGCTATGCGGGCGTTTCAACCAAATGAGAGGAAGATTGATTGATTTAACTCGATTGTAGGACACATACGAATGCGTTTTATATCAACTGAGTTTCAAACCTTAAGGCGAATAGTTAGCGTGATTCATGCCTAGCTGATGGGGGGCAGGAGGGTCAGAACTGATCACCCCAGTGTCCGTTGTCTTATTTTTCACGAACGTTTTTAGCGTTTTCACGCACTTCCTATTGCTACTGCGAGCTAAAAACTTCAGTAAGTCTTGGGCACTTTGACAGAGCTAAATTAAATCGCCTGTATCAATAATCCTAATGAGAGGAGTTATGTAGAAGTGAAGCTTTAAGTTTGCAAAAAAATAATTTTTCGCACTCAAAACGTTTTGTCGAGCTTTAGTTACCTGCTCTTTATCAGTCTCACGAGAAATAAATGCACCACTTTGAATACGACTTTGTCTAAGAGTAATCTGACTGAAAAGAAAACCAACTTTTAAGGCAGTGACATCGAAAAGAAACATGAATGATCCTAAATGGTGGTTTACCGAGTTAAAGCACCTTTAACTGCCAGAATATAATAAGCTACATAGTTTGCATTTGACTCAAGCCTATTCTGGAATGAGAAAGCTTGTCGAATTCGGTTATTAATGTGGACTTTTAGGCTTAGTCGAGTTTCTAGACTCAGCAAATATCGAAGCGACTGTCCAGTCTTAGTCATGTATAAGAAGACTACTCGTTTTAAATACGTTTCTGGATTTGGCTTTCAGCGCAATTCCCGAAGAATTTTCTAGCCATTAGTTTATAAATGACATTAAGCTCTTGCTTTTATTTTACTCGCAAAAGACAAGTAAACAGTCTATATTATAAAAAAATTCGAAAATGTATCGCCGTTCGTGCCTGGCCGTTGACTGTTTGAATATTGGTACAACTTTCGCTTTAGGTATTCCAAGCAGAGGAAGTCTGAACCTAAGCTGTCCAGACATTGAATCTCGGCTTTCTTTCCCATTCTTTCTAGAGTTTCCAACTAGAAAAAACATGGATCATAAGAGAAAAGGGCCGACAATACTTCTTGTAGGACTTGTGGTTCACTGCTCATGTAAGCCCGTTCTTTCATGTTCTTGATCAAGGTTCGATCGGTTTCCGTTAAATCAAGCAAACCCTCTGAAGGAACTTGCAGCCTACAGACTCGAAAATGAATTACTAAGTAAGAACCCACCTTGACAGTTCAGATGGAAGAATTCCAAGAAGTTGAAATCTCTGAAGGAAAGGCGAGGTCGTCTCGCCGAGTCTCATCGCTTCGTTCTTTAAAAAGGATTCAAAATATCGAAGACATTTCAAATGTTACTCGAATTGAAAAAAGGAGATAAAAAATCTAAGCACACACTTCTACCTCTCAACGGCTTGGTCAGATTTGTTTTTGATGAATTTAGTGAGAGAGAGAGAGAGAGAGAAAGTGAAATCAATGTCCACACCTGGGAGTGCAAAGATACTATCGTATATCATGGATGTGTCGAGTAGAGTTGGAATGCAAACTGGCCCAAATTTGTCAAAATTTCAACGAAACCCCGCCTCCACAGGATTTAACTAGACATAAATCTTTGGCTGCGTCTACCTTTCATTTATCTATGGGATTAGTTGTCTCCCACCATTTACAGTTTGTGGCAGTGAAGCCGTTAGCCTACAAATGAGGTCACAAGTAAAAAGGGACGGCAAGATAAGCTCATTGAGACGGAAAGTCTCTCAAACGAACTAAATCAAACTAGAGT